ATTCAGATGATAAGGATAGAAGGCTCTTGTGGCCTGTGTTAATCCTTGCAAAATATATCTCTGCAGAGATCTAACTTCTCTTTGAAAGCGTTCACCGATGGAGCTGTTACTACTGAATCAGGTAAAGAGTTCCAGTCTTTGACCACTCTGTGAGAGAATTCTGCACGTATTTTAATCGTTGAAATAAGAACAGATTAGTTCAGCGAAGAGTCTCTTTTCGGTGAATTCATTCACTTAGCTGTACAGTCGCAAATATATATACAATTATTTTGTGTGTGTGTGTACATTAGGTTTGTCAAAATCAAAATAACAGTTAGTGTGGGTTGCTGATTATATCATCAAGATAATGAATAAGTTAAAATGTGTGATTAATACTCAAAGTTGTAACTAAGTGGGGTGAAGATTGGTGAGATGTGAGTAGAGTTACATCATCAAAATAATGAAGAAGTTAAAATGTGTGATTAATACTCAAAGTTGTAACTAAGTGGGGTGAAGACTGGTAAGATGTGAGTAGGGTTACGTAATATGGACATGTTTAGAAAGATTAGATGCTAATGAAGGAGTTTGGAGACAATTATGAAAATAAACTAGATAATAGGTGAAAAGATTGAATGGGTTAGTTACTAAAAATTGTTATACGAAAATTGCAAAAAAAAATTTGATAACAAAATGTTGATGACAAATAAACTTGGAATTAAACCCACGGTAGTAGGAGGGGGTGGAGAAGTTTCTTCTGTGTGCATAACTCAGGCTTTTCCATCCAAATCGCTAAGGCTTCAGCAATACAAAGTATACGGAAGCTTGTCGATTTTGGAAGGCTTCTTTTGACTTTATAGATGACTTTGAACGACTTCTCCTTGCAAATCGAATGACCAGTGTTGAGTATATGCTCAATAATGGCGCTCCTTATTGCTCCGTTGTTACCTTTCCGTAGCCAGGCGGGATAGTGTTCTTGAACTCTTTTAGGTAAAACACGCATCGTCCTCAGTTTGAGTGGCTTTTCGCGGTGACCCCGTAAATGTGTCCTAGAAGAGGAGAGAAGTTTAGATAGGTCAGTTCCTAAATCACCCTTAAGTATACGGTATGCTAAAATTAAGTCGCCTCTCTTCCTTTGGTATGATAACGGGAAGAGATTTAAATGCTCCATCCTCTTATCATAAGGAAGGTGTGAGATACCACTAACTAATTTCGTTCCTACCCTCTGTACTCTTTCAAGGATATGTGCCTCCTTTTTGAAGCATGGATCCGCAGCTTGTATGCAGTATTCTGAATGAGGCCCGACATATGTTGCGTAGAGTATTTGGAACATGCCCTCGTCTAATCGTTTGAAAGCCCTTCGAATGCCCATAACATTCGAAAAGACTCAGCTGCGGCTGCACTGCAATTTACAGTTGTTTTCAAATCATTGCTGACAATGATTCCTAGGTCCTTCTGTTCGTTAACATCAGGTAGTTCTGTGTCCCCTAGGGAGTACGACGTATAAGACTTCTGACCTAAGTGCATTACGGCGCTTTTCCTAAAATTCATTTCCAAACTCCACAGGTTCGACCACTCAGCTAATTTATCTAGATCAGTTTGTAGGGCCGACCTATCCTTATTATTTACAGTTTTCCATATCTTAATGTTGTCTGCAAATAACAATGAAGATGAAGTAAGAATCCTCGGTAGCTCATTAACGTATAATAGGAATAGCAAGGGGCCTAATACAGTTCCCTGAGGCAATCCACTGGATACTGCTTTCCACCCTGATAGTACACCGTTAACTATAACCTTCTGCCTTCTATCCATTAGGTAATCCCTAAACCACTCACATAGGCATTGGTCTAGTCCGAAACCACTAAGTTTACTAAGGAGACCTAAGTGGGATACTTTGTAGAATGCCTTGCTAAGATCAATAAAAACCACGTCCAACAGAAGGTTTTTATCTCTGGCCTCGACCCAATCTTCCCTAGCTAACAGTGAGTTTGTCAAGCAGGATCGTCCTGGTCGGAATCCATGCTGTTCCACATGCGCTAATAGCTGATCCCATATAATTGTTTCTAATACATTTGCTATAATGCATGTCAGACTTACCGGCCTGTAGTTAGATACCATTTGCCTGTCCCCCTCTTTGAAGATAGGGCTTATAATGGTATCCTTCCAGTCCCTGGGTAGCTTAGCCTGGGTCAGTGACATTTGGAAAATCTCCGCAAGCTGAAAATATATTATATCCGCCAAGGAATTTAACAGTTTAGGGTGAAGTCCATCAGGCCCAGGTGATTTACCTGGATTCAGTTTAGACAGTAGTTTAAGGACCTTTGTGTGCTCTACCACAACTGAGGGCATCTGAGTGGCGATGGCAGTGACCTCACCATATCCCTGGGTGGTACCATCAGACGAGAAGACGTCACAGAAGTATTCAGAGAGGTTTTCAGCCTTTCCTTCGTCTTACTCAACCGCTTCTCCACTAATGCTTATGAGTGATGGTATACCATTGCTAGTTTTAGTTCTACGTTTAATATACGAGTAGAGCCTCTTTGGGCAATGAACACAATCTAGTACAAGCCGTCTCTCGAACTCTATACGACTCTTGTTAATTTTGCGGTAGTCTTTCTGGAAATTTTCCCTTCCTGTCATAATAAATTGGTCCCATATGTTCCTTCGCCGTCTTAATAGCCTCCTTATCTCACTAGTAATCCAAGGTGGCTTGTGCGATAGCTTTCGAGGAGAGTACCAAGGTATTAAGGTGAAGTGACACAATCTAGTGTACTCCTAAATCCTGCCCAAGCTTCCTTGACAGTCCGACTTGTGTCTACTGACCGGTCAACTGCAGTTGCTGCGTTCCGGATTCCTTGTATACCCGCTTTCCAAATGTTTGGACGAGCAGATTTTGACCTGTATATGAGAGAATGAATCTTAAACGTAAAAAGTAATGACTATGTGGTCACTGCTGCCAAGCGGCGGAAGGCTCCTAATGTTACCAACGTCCTCCTTCTGGTGTGTTAATCCCAAGTCTAGAGTAGATGGATCATGTTGCGGGTGATACCATGTTGGTGCATGCATATGTTGCACGAGTGCACATTCAAGCACCGTCAATGTGACCTCCCTATTGAAACAGGTATACAAACTAGTGAAGTTTAATTCCCCCCAATTAATGTGTGGAGCATTAAAGTCGCCAACAACCAGACACCTATTTCTACTACCCCACGTCCTCCCCACGAAGGTATCAGCTTGGCTAGCAGGACTTTTGTAAATAACTCCGATCGTTAAAGTGTCCTTGTTCAAGTTAATGACGCAGCTTGCGGCCTCACTGGTGCCGCTATCATGAGCTTCTGACAACGTTGACCTAATCCCTATGTCATCGCGGACGTATAGAGCAACCCCCCACTTTTCCTACTACTTACTCTGTCTGCTCGAATGCAGATGTACGCAGGTATGAGTGGAGTTACGTCTACACCCACTAACAACCATGTCTCAGTGAAAGCAATCACATCAGGTTTTAGTCTTTCAGGCAGTTCTCCTAATTCGGCGAGCTAATTCCTAAGACTACATGAGTTCGTATAGCACACCGAAACACCTACGTGCTCATCCGGCTTATGAAGAGAGGTCTCGGCAGCATCGGTTTCCGAGATCTCACCACCCGAAAACCCAACAGCTTGAGGTCTTTTTCGCCTTTCTCTAGCCTGGCCTTTAGTTCAACCACGGCTTCTCTTCTTTTGATTCTATCTTCTAAGGGCCAATCAGGCCTTATTTTTAAACTTGTATCGTTGATTTTGAACGCGTTGTTGAGGATGTTGCTTCTCTCTGTTTCGCTCACTAAAACTATCTTAAGTAATCGTAGAGAAGTTTCCGTAGCATCAGGGTTTCGTTTCCCGATCCTGATGGCTTTTCTAATGTGAACTCCAATTGTTTTTTTTCGGGAAGGATTTCCCGGATAATGGAGTTAACGGTCTTCAGATCATATGCATGTCGGGCAGCTGGATCTGTTTTCCTAGATTCCTCCAAATTCCAGATGATAACACTGTAACTAGAGTCCGTGGGTTTCTGAGTTTGGCTGGTATTAACAGCCACCGAGACCTTGTTGGTGAGCTTGGTTACTGTTTCTTTCCTACGTTTATTTTGCTTCTTACCTGTCGGCACCAACTAAGTGGAGTCGGTTTCTTCCATTCTGTTTTCGCCGCGACTAGAAGCCATTCGTGCACTAGACACGCTTTGGAGTGGCCATTTCACAGGCTGATGTTGCGATGCTGCAACTACTTGCCCTTTTGGATTTCCTTTGTCTTTTGCGATTTGCAGCAACAGATATTTGGGCACTCTGTGCCTCTTTTGCCTCTGAAGCTTCAGGTGGTGATACACCCTCAGTTTTAAAACTATGTCCTGAACCGCCATTCTTGGCTAAGATTTCTGGTCGAGGCTTTTCGATTATGTTTTTCGACAATTTCTTGGACATCAGGAGTCCCACTGTCTCTTGGATGACGACATCCAACGGGTTACTGCAAAATTTGCACAGCCACGGAGATGATGGCTTGCAACATCTCTTATAGGCTACTGGTGATAAACCAGTGCAAGCCTTGTGGAACCATAGGCTGCAGTTGTCACACTGCATCCCATCATCCACCGGAAAGTGGCAGTCTGGTAGTCCACAATTGTTAGTCGGACCCATAACGCTAATTTGTTTCAACAACACAAATATATGTACGTGAAAACAGCGAGGTAAATACCAACCAAAACACAAACTGTGAATAAAATGAACAACACTTCAACTAAATAAATCAGTTAAAGTGAACTAAAAAGCTTCTGATGTGGTTTAAACAACAAAAGCAGAATTTACTTCACAACGTAAAAGTGCCACTCTCCTTTTTCAAAGCGCTATGTATGATATATGATGTATGTGGCTACTTCTACCCCTCCGAAGCTTAGCTGGTCTACCTTATAGGCTGCATCATCCACGAAACTGGCAGAGAAATCTAAATTACTTGCCGTGGAAAGTTTCTGACACACATCGTGGAATTCATATCCGTAACCTTGACATGCCAGTGCACGTTGAATATTGAAAGGGCCGTGCAGTTTTCGAGGTTGTCGACGTCACACTTGTGTTAGGTTTTGTAGAATGGAACAGAGATACAATCCAAGGTAAGTGGATATATCTAATTTATTCATCAGCAGTGAAAAAGTCGGCCCGCCACAAACCACCGTTCCCCCTCAAGCGAATTACTATGGACAATATCCTGTAAATCCTGTCCAAATGAATTCTCCACATTTTAACTACACCTACCCAACTTTGAACAATTCAAACTACAGTTTAAGTGGGACTAGTGAGAAATCATACACAAACCAAAACTTCAACCCAAATCCACTGCCACCAAGTTCTGAGTCAACTGATTTATTAATAGACTTCTCTTCTGGCACCTCAGCAAATGAAAATTTAAAAAGCCATGCTGAAAGTCTCATGGAGAGCTCTCCTAATTTTCGTGCTAATGGGGAGTTTTCGGTGGATTCACAAAACACTACAGCCGAGAGTGAGGGTGTGTTGGGAACTTCTGGTGAATCACTGAAGCCTGACCAAACTCAACAAAATAAAGAAGTTTCGAAGGTAGAAAAGGCAAATCATCGATTAGCAGGTTCAGGTCAAAAACCCAGACTATCCAAGCAAAACGTTGGAACTAATCGGAATATTGTCAAGACCCACACTTCATCTAGACATAAGAAGAAACATGACCTGTCAACTGATTCTGTTAATGAAAATCTTCAGCGTAAGTTATTTTTGTCGATGTTGTTATCAGTGCTATTGATAGTAAACTGACGGTTTTGAGTCTTTCGTACATTGTTTTTAAAAAGCCTTAAGTGCTAAGGATACTAAACTTCTTTAAGAACAAAAAGTAACAGCTAGGGTCTAGTTACCTGCGTCTGCTTTCCACATTTAGTGAAATCTCTCGTGTATGAAGTTTGAGAATATAAATTCCTATAAAAAATCTAAAAAGACTCATACAATAATAAATCGTTACTAGACACTACATTAGGATTGAGGCTAGGAGTCCGGTTATGGTTAGGAATCGAATTCGGGTCACTAATGTGAATCGCATCTGAGTACAATTAACATCGTGTATATTTTTCAAAGTTGGTAGATATCAGATCATCAGAGGAAGTTGAAAACAGGTACATAGCGGTTTACGTTTTTGATCATGTGTTCGTGATACCCAACTTTCATGATCTCTAAGTTACAAGTATGTATTTATACACGTTAACCATGTATTTCAAGTGACTGCTAATGTTGAAAATCAGGTTTCTTATAGGAAATAAGTGTTCCAGTCTTATTGATGTCGTTCTGCTTTTTATTCTGAAAACAGAACCAAACCCTTTTGAACAATGGTATCAGATGATGTCACAGTACTACAGTCAGTTTTATCCAGGCTATCAAATGGTCCAACCTCCAACACTTCCTCATCAGTCTGTCGCTTTCCGTTCACCAAACCAAGGAACGAAAACGTCGAGTCAACCAGTGAATATTCCTCAACATGGGCCTCAGGGATTCAAAATGCCACCTGGGAACCAGCCAGGAACGTTTGATTATGCAAACTATTATTACCAGTATTATGCAGCTGCTCAGTTGTGGTCAGGCGCACATGCTCAGCAGCTTTTTGGCGCAGGTGTTCCCGAAATCCCACGTTTCTACAATGGTCCACACATAAGGGCCTGGATGGGTTGTCCCGGTGTTATTGTACAGGTTGGTCATTCATTTTTAGTTTTATGAAGTCGAACTTTACTGTCTTTTAGATTCTACCTTCTAGACCACTTGATGGGGAACTTGCAAGAGTTGAAATAATTGACCTTTCTGAGCTGGCAAATGAAGCTGCAGCTGATGCATCTAAACGAGCAGCATACAATACGTGTAGCACTTTTATAAACGCACGCGATCCTGCCTTCAGTCAGCAACAATCTTCTGAACAAGCTAGTCATTTTGGCATTGACGATTCTGGTAGACAAACTCCGAGTCATCTTTCTAGTATTCCTGCTGGTGGTGGAGATGAAGACACAGAAGAAATGCGTGCGTGTGCCGCCATTACAGCGTGTTGGGATCGTATGGATCACCTCTTCTATCCGGGTCCACTTGATCGTGTTGGTACTTTAAAAGCAGATGTCCTTGCATTCTTACGTGAAAAGTTGTCGGAAATTCAGGATCGTCTGCCTATTGATTGGGAATCTGCTGATTTGCTCCTAATGTTTCTGGAAGCGCTTGTTAAGAACAATGGGGTGAGTAAAAACTTGATCAAAATCTACGGTTTTTATGTATTTGTTGTGGTGTAATATCATGAAAAAATATAGCATTCATCGTGAATCTGTAGGAATCCAAACTTTTGAAAAGTTGTGCGGTCTCTGTGATGATGATAGTGCGTGGCTTGGATTCTGGAGACGCTAAGAACCAATGAGTGGACACTGTTATTGGTATAGTTCATGACCGTTCCATCCATCGGATGCCAATTTCTCTCCATATACTTGTTCTTTATCCGTTTCTTATGGTTTCTTTGAATCTTTAGTTTGCTATATGAAGTGTGGCAACTTGAACTGCTACACTTTTATTCAGAGTTCTACATTGAAAACTCAAATTCCGTTAACTAATCTTTCAAAATAAAAAAAATAAAAACAAAATTGTTATTTTCTAAACACTTATTTTCACACTGAAATTAAGCTAAGTAGGACGTTGTCCCACAGTATGTCTATCCGTTTTTATATTTCACAGTATTCCTGAGGAAAATAAATTGAATATTTAGATGGAATTAGAAAAAAACCCACCGAATTTCCTATGGATTTCGAAAGTCTTGAAAAGTAATTACCCTTGTGATAGTGTTACTTAATTTTAGCCTTCTAATCAATTTTAATGCCATTGGTTTGGGATGTCAGTATGATCCTAGTTGTGTTTCACTACATAACTCTTTGTGTAGGTTAGTGACTTCGGAAATTATTTTCATGTCTTTGGAGTTAACTCTTGGTTTATGAAAGTTCTTATTATTTTATTATCTTAAAACTGCTAAGAGCTTGTTAAATCCGTTGTTCTTGTGATCGTGATGTTGACCTCTATGGGTACGTTCAGCTTTTGTGACATCTGACTTATCCATGCATGTGTTTAAATCTAAGTATGTGGTAGAAAGTCTCATCTCTCATTGTTTGTAGTAGTTCCTAAATTACTATAGGGTTTTCCTACTGTATTGTATATCCAATATTTTTTTAACCTTCATTTTACAGAACTTACAAACATCGGATCTTGTAAATCTTTTGTTGGAGGGTCATGAACCAACAACCAGTTCCTACAGAAGTGGTTCCTATGGTTATTCGTCTAGTTCGTATTTAGGAGTACAGGTACCTTCGCACTATGCGGCCGCTTTGAACAACTATTCTCAAGTTGAAGGATACATGAATGAATCACTGAATTCGTTGCCTGGAAGTCAAATGCCAAGTGGGCGTGAAAGCCCTGAATCCCACTTTGAAGTTGACTATAGAACAAGTTTTATGCGTCATAATAAGGCAGCTTCTGAAACTGGTGGACCAAACTCTGCCCAGAGTATTATTCGGCGTGTTGGAGCAATGAATATAGGATCACGTAGTCAGGAGTCAGAAGACAAAATTTTGGATCGTTTCCGTGAGGTAAGCGTTTTAGCTACAATATTATGCCAGTAATTTAATTTTTTATGTACTCTTTAATAGATTGTGCTAAACGTTCTTTCTTCATAATTATCTTTCATATTTGTGTTACTAGGCTGAAATTATTGATCAATCTGTGTTGGCATACCTGTCACTGTGATAAACATCTTGTTGAGATGCCGATATATGCATTTAGGTTAGTAAATGAATAATGCCTGTTGAATAAAGTGTAGCCAAAGGGACTCAATGAAGTGGATAATATCCTGTCTTTTGAATTGGTGAATGCTAAACTCGAATTCCACTTGAAACAGCAAAATTCACTAAGATACACGCATATCTTGACTGATGATGCTTGCCGTTAGCAAATAATAACCATGATTCAAATAAAGCCTATCTGAACTGATTGTAAATGTAAGATTCTAATCTCAGCTTTCTTGTTTTTTAAGACTGTATAACCTAAGACAACTTCTACTTTCTCTGATGATATCTTTTCAAGTAAAGTTTTATCTGACACTATATAAAAGCAAAGGGATGAAAGTTAATACTTATTACAGCTGAAGTACCAGTTTGACACTTATTCAGAGCCTGTGGACATGTGGCCCATCGAGTTAGGCACTCGACTTTCAATCAATATGTCACGGGTTCGAACCCTGTCCCACCAACCGAGGTTTAGGCAGCTAGGTAGTATCACTAGTCCTAGCTCATTGCCAACTGCATGGAATTGTAAGTAGTTATTGAATGCCATTTTTTAAATTTAGTCTTGCTGGCAATCGTAAAGATTAGTAACCAGAGTAAAGCTGTATGAAGATGCAACTAAAAACTCATATGAACCTTTGCTTTCATTATTTCCATTCGAAAGGTTTAACGGAAAGACTGGATTCATGTCCATTTCACGTCAGCAATCGATATCAGTTAAGTAACCCTTTGAAATCCAGTAGCTCTAGGAAAGTCCCCCTGCAGTATTGAGATTTTAGCACTGCATTCTATCCCACATGAAATTAAGTATGTGCACTGACAAATTATCTTCGTTTGTTAGTAAACTACTGTTGAGTATTTGTAAGAGTTGTATAGTTCTCTAAATGATGCTCGTATGCTATGAATATTACGTTATGTTGACTATAAGACATCATTTCATTAGACTGACTTGTAAATATGCTATTAATGTCATCCTAGCGGCTTTCATGCTGTCGACTGTTCGATAACCTACCACTAAGTAGATAAACTGGAAAGGGCCTACAATGTGGCACCACGGGATAAATGATAGTTGTGTTGGCTAAATATCTGTTGGTGCCTTAAGACTCTTTGGAGTGGTTCTAAGACATCATTCCACCTGGTAGTTCGAGATGTTATTATTAATGGCTGAGAATAGAAATCGACGCCAAACAAGTTGCATTTTCCTTAGTTCTCTTTCTGAAAGTAGTAAACAGCAGTGTATGCTTCTTTGAATGCTTTTTATAAGTATAATGACCTGATTATCATTTTAAGTTGTTTCCCTACCTCTTTTTATATGACTAATATATTTTGTAGTTATTAATGCATGGTTTACCAATGAAAGCATTAGAACATGCCTGTCGTTCTAAACTATGGGGTCATGCATTTACTCTGGCGCATAGGATGGGTCCTCCAATATTTGCAAAAGTAATGGATCGTTTCTTAAACAATGCTGTACCAATATCAGATCCAATTCTTACACTATATCAGTTAACTGCCGGTGATATGCCACAAGTTATTAATACTGCAGCTTATGGAAAAGGTAAATATATTGATATTGTACATGTTACTTGGAATATATTCACTTGTTGTTTTTTTTTACTATCAGTTCCCTATACTTTCATGTATCGGGTTCAAGGATATGTAACTATATATAATTATGTAAGATGATGCTACAGGACTGGACTACATTGACTCCTAGCTTAGAAATAGGGAGTGAAGTGGTAGAGCGTGTTGACCACTTCACTTATTTGGGAAGTTGCATCAGCCCCAACGGGTTGATCGCTGACGAAATCTCAGCACAGATACAGAAGGCTCATTTCGCATATGCCAGTTTACGCCGTCTCCGGCGTAGACGTGATATCCGGCTATCGACTAGGAGGCGCGTGTATTGCTCAGCAGTCCTCTCCTTTCTTCTTTATGACTGTGAGACATGGTCATTGAGAGTGCGGGACATGAAAAGCCTTGCTAGCTGCCTTTGATGATAGGTGTCTGCGTTCTATCTCCCATGTGAAGTGGTATAGTAGGGTGAGCAATACTGAGGCTAGTTGTCGAGTGCTAGGTAAGGAGGGGAAATCAATCGACGAGGCTGTAAAGCTACATCGACTGAGATGGTTAGGACATGTGTTGGGTATGCCTAGTCATCGCCTTCCTCGACAGTGGGCAATGTTAGCTCACATAAGGTCAGGCTGGAAAAGAGCTAGCGGCGGTCAAATCAAAACATGGCACCAGTCAATGAAATCTACAACAGTTAGTCTAAGCCACTGTGATACCGTGGGAAAGCTATCGTATTCTTACTGGTTTTCAGTTATCGCCTCGCTGTTATCGGAGTAGTATGAGGAAGAAGTATACTATAAAGAATCTGACTTACTTCCGGGTATTTAGACACTGTTATTTTGGTAATTGTTTGAGAATTCTTGTACTCACGCGTTTAAAGAACTATTAGTCACTAGAAATTCATGGATCATTTGAAAGTTAGTCCGAGCTTTTCAAGTGACTTGGATTTATAGTTATATGGTGTATTAAATGTGTTTTTGGTACTGATTGATATTCGTTGTCTGTGAAACTTGTATTCTAAGTCAATATCGAATTCGGACCATGAATAACTTTTAAAAAAATCGCTTAATTCATATCCATTCGAGATCTTAATATGGTTGATTACAACTTCTTAATAAAGCTACGTTCTGTATGAAGGTCCAACTCGTTTTAACAGTATGGTGATCACTGTGAATTGAATTCCATTTCAAAATGTCCTAGTAGGTAGTAAATCCACTGAATTCACCAAACCGTCGATTGACAAACTACAGCAAACGTGCATAATGCAAAAGTAGTAGAAGAAATCAAGCTACACAAACCATCTACAAAGGTTAACTGCATCATCAGTATTCAGGCTACTTCTCGTGTCCATCTCATTTTAAACGATTAGGTAAATATCCGCTTTTTGGAGGAAAAATGGAGCGTTTCGTGTTTACGTGAAAGCTCGCTGCGGCACTACTATCCCTTACACTTCTAGAAAGATAAAGGCTCGAAATGTGCAACACAGTCAACCCATTCGAAATCTTAATCCCCCCCCCCCCCATAAATAAGATCAATGCTCTGGCATAATCTTGCACTTGACAAATGCAATACGCATGTTGGATATACTCAGATGTTCTTTAAGGATTGCTCAAAAGATCTCACATTGTCAGCATCTGCATATTAGCTCCATTCCACTCACCAAATCAATAACCGCCAAGTTACCTCCACAAGTAGTTAGAACTTGATTATTTAAAACAGATTTTTAATGTACCAGGCAGTGAGTCACATGTATTACATGAGAGCTAATAATACTACTTAGTTACCCAGGTCGAAGTAAATGGGTTTGTACTCGAACCTTGGATGCATTGACAGAAAGTCGAGTTCTTACACCAATAGTCACTCTGATTCTTGTTAGTTGATGATGTGTATCGATATTTATAAAAACCTGAATGTCATCTGAGTTTCATTATTGATATTTTGACGCTTATTGATCATTGGCGTACAAACTCATACTAATGGTGAAAAATTCCATTACGTTTCTCTTAATTTCCTAATAAAGAGTAAATATTCCTTGTTTATCTTTTTTATTTGTCACAGGCTCTGATAGTGGTGATTGGAGACCACACCTAGCAATGATACTAGCCGCTCAATCAACTCAATTGGAATTGTCACTTATGGCTCTTGAGCGCCTCGGTGATGGCTTACTATCTCGAAAGCATATTTATGCAGCACATCTTTGCTATCTACTCACAAACACTTTAAAACAAGCCGATAAAAGTGAAATAAATCAAAAAGAATTTCGGTTACCGGCTAAAATATGGTTGATTGGTGTACCTCCTCACAATGATAATATGAATACAGAATTAACTGGAAAGGAGAACACTGGTGTTGGATCAAGTCAGCCGCCATCACCTTTGTTTTCTACTTCAGAGGCGATTCAGCTGACTGAAATATATGAATATGCAATTCAGTTGGCTAATCGTAAATACCGACTGCGTCAATTGTTGGTAAGTGTCAGCATCACACTCTATCATGGCTAGAATTATACATTCCTTATTAAATCTTTGTCTTGATCATATTATTATTATATTATTATTGTTTCCTTTAATTCCTAGAGGAACATAGGGCTTCAGCCGTGCGTCTCCATTGCGTTCGGTTCTCTGCTAGAGTCTTCACCTGGCTCCAAGTCTGCCCACACGTTTTCATCTCCTCTTCACATGACCTCCTCCATGTCACCCTTGCACTGACGACCAACTCGCCGCTTCCCTTTCGGATTCCACTCGAGCAATGGCTTGTCTAGTGATGTCACTTGATGGTTTCCTCAGAGTATGGCCAATCCATCTCCATTTCTTCCTGCATATTTGTTTCACAATCGGTTCCTGGTTGGTTCGCTCCCAGAGATCTCTGTTGCTGATCTTTTCTGGCCGGCCATCTGATCTTGAGTATTGAGCGAAGACAACTGTTAATGAATGTCTGTAGTTTGTTTGAGATGCTCTTTATGACGCGCAGTGCAAGTCTCTGATCCGTATAGTAGCACTGACTGACTTCACATTGGAGTTGAAAATCCGGATCTTATTTTTGATGCTGAGTGTTGTTGACCTCCACACAGACTTGAGGGTAGTGAAAGCTTGTCTTGTCTCAATCATATTAGCTTTGATAAATTGGTTTTAACGGCTTAAAATTAACATTATCTGATCTTATAATCGTTGCCTTTTCTAATTGTCACATTTTTGTAGATGGGGAATAATTTCTTTCCAAACAGTTTATTAGCTGACTTAGAGTAATCAGTTGTCACTGTCTTTTCAGGACAAAACGCGCTGATGGATGGGATAAGTTTCCTAAAGATTTTAAATGAAAATCTGAGAGTATTTCTTATCCTCTTGAAGTTAGCTGTTTACTCAGGACTTGTCCTGCTTAATACTCTGTATCAGTAATGGGAGAAATGTGCTTCAGCCTGTTAAGCACTTCACCTAAAGAAGCTTGTATTAGTCCTGATGGACTACTAGCGTACTATATCTCTGAAGGTTTAAAAGGATATTAGTATGTTTGATTACTGAGGGTTGGGATTAAATATATTCTTCCTCCGCAATGTAGAGGTTGTCTCACTATATGAGTGTAAAGCATCGACTAGAATTGATTTTCATAAGCGCTTCGGATATCTGACCACCACCCCTTGTCTCTCTGTGATGAATATAGAGGTTAGTTGTAGAGTAGTAGTTGGGTAAGGTGTGTTAATCAGTTGATGCAGTTGTAAATCTGTTTCTACTGGTGTGTATTACGCATATCCGGTTTACATTCACATTCTATTTTGTTTAATATGCATCTGGAAATCAGAGGGAGAAATCAAAATTATGTGACTATCGTGGTATTTTCGAGCTTAGCAGCGGTATCATATTGTTGGATTGTATTTTTTGGGTGTGTGTGTGTGGGGGGGCGGATACTCACTAATACTAGCAGTTAGCATACAAGCTTAGACCTAGGTTTTGTGTATATTGACACTCATCAATATAGCATTTGTATGTAACGACAGAAGGCAAGACTCAGGCAACAGATTGTTTATTATGGAAATCAAGACATATTTATAGATTTTCGTGTACATTATTATAGATTATTGTTAGCTGACAAACACACTTTTCTGATCGCTTGTTTTTCACTAAAAGTTAATCTTTCATCTCTTTGTTGCTGTCTCTTGAGTGTCAGATCATCTATCTGCTAATTGTATCCGCCTACGCAAAGTCTGCTATCCGTCTTTGATCTTGTTTTCACATGACTAATATTTGAGACATAAACATTGACGTCAATTACTGTCTACCAATTTGGCTAGCAGCCATCTCTCACCACATGTATAGCTTCAAGTTAACGGATGCGATCCAATGCCGGATTCAGACATGTTACTACTAACTTATCCGGATCGCGATTGACATATTCTGTAAAACTGTGTTGCATACACCATTGACTGTTCACTGTGAAATAACCAGTGTCAGTTCGTCTAGCCCTCAGTGCTGACGGAATTCTTTTGGTCAAGTTAGCAGTGTTTCCATTAAGAGCTATCACAGTACATATTGTGAATTGATTTCAGATGGTTCAAGACAGTTGTTTACCTGTCTCTGAATCTTAACCAGTTTCTCTATGCTTGCCACCAACATAATCTTCGTATATTTTTATACTTTCATCGACAGTAAATCCACATCAGTCGACTGCTTAGATGTGTATCTAAGCATTTTTGCTTTGGAAATTAATGATAAAGCATAAAAGTTGTTCATCTAGTGGAACTCTGCTGAAAAGTTCACGTTCTCATCACTGCGGAAAATCATGTAGAAAAGGTGGGTAGAAAGAAAGGAGGACGTAAGAGAAAAAAAGGTTAATTCAAAGTGAATGGTGATAAAAATCATGTACCTTTGTGTGCTTGTGGATACTTCAGTAGGATATAAAAAATTATCAAGTATTGGTTTACAGGGATTTGTTTGGTTACAGAATTAGTCATAAGCTGACATCAATTAGAAAACCATTAGAAATTCTGAGAGTACTGGGTAGCTGTTTCGTCAGTTTTGTTTGGGACTCTTCATCAGTACGCACCCACTGGGGTTCAAAACCAGAACCCTCCAGTTACAAGGCGAGCTCGTAGACCATTCAACTAGTGGGACCCCCCGACCCAATGGTCCAAGAATCGGCAGAAGTTGGAATATCAAAAATTCCTCAGCATCTTCTGAACACCGTGAAGACTATATTTTGATTTGACTATCCTTGACTTCTTCCCAACTTAATTTTACTTCATCGAATAATGCTCTTCTGGGAAGTTAGTTACTCAGCACATGTAAAACGTCTCAGCCATATTATAATCGGTAATGATTCACTGTCATGTCGATTGATTCACTTTGTGTCTTGAAAAGGAAATTTTCTTTTTGACGAATTGCTTTTTAAAAGCCGTATAATGGTGTTTACATTCAACACAGAATTCATAAAATCAATCATATACTGGTGATCATTTTCTAGAAAATGGTTTACGTAATGTAAGGAATAATCTGGAGGGGAATACACAAGTGGGGATTAAGAAACAGAAGCCATTATTGCGTAATAACTGTAAAAATGACTGTATCTCTATCTTATGAACATACAAAGTGGGCAAAAATAGTGGGAATCTGTTTGAGGAGTACAGTGTTATGAGTAAACGAAAACAATAATGATGATAATAAATTAAACATCAAAAAGTGAAATAAAGTAAAAATAACGGGCGAAAATGTCACCCTGGACATATTGAAGCCAGTGTAACAACAGAAGACAAGGGCCAGGCAACAGATCAGTTTTATTACGAAAACCAACAGGTATTTATATGTTTTTTACGTACATTAATAGGCTTCTGCCCGCAGAAAGAAGGCGGTCTTCTGATTGGTTGTTTGCAAACAAACGCAGTCTTCTGCTTTCTCGTTTTCGATATTTCTCGGAAATGCGAGCCACTTGTCTGCGAATCATATTTGTCCACGTCTAGGTCAGCTGTGATCGGTTGTTGAATCAGCCTAGATTAATTTCTACCAATCAGCGTAGATCAATGTCTACCAATCGACTAGCAGCTTGCTCTCACCACACCAGTAAGTGTGTGTGTTGCTTTTGAATGCACAGGTCTGGTTCAAGGTCCCAGATAACCAGTAGTTTGGCTACGTATAAATAGCCTGTTCGAAGCTCCATTGTGTAGTATTGTAGAACTCTGTGGATCAATTTGAGGCAGTCATACAAAAGCACCTAATGCCTCAAAGTTAAGATGTTTATGGATAGAACTACTGATATTCTTCTTTTCCAATCCGGCTAACTTGAATTGATCGTGTTCCGAAATGCTTTTACTAACTTTACGCTATGTAGAGCCTGTTCACATTGTTTTCATAGAGTTCTAAGCGTAATCAGAATCATTCTACCACACGGAAAAATTGTCACATAAATGTCAGACATTACCAAATGGTTATTGTTACACAGGTTTTTAACCCCTGAGTGCTGATCGAAAGCTGTTCTATTACTGAGTAGTTGGGTGGCAGACAAAACTTTATACTTTCCTCATGCTTTGACTTCAAACACTAAGTAAATACCTTTTATTTAAAGGTATCTGGAATATTAATTATTATAAAAGTTTCTGTACTTCCCTCTGAATGAAAACAAAACGATATTGTTTGGTTTACTGACGATTTGCTGTTTAATACTGCTAATAGTTTCATCTAAGTACTATTAACCAGAATTTACAAAACCTCATCTTATATACAGCAACTTAATCATAGTCCTTCGGCATCGGGTAGTTTTTAGGTTGTCAAGCAGGTCAATTGGTAAAGATAACAAAACCGTGTACATACAGTCTGATTTGACAAGCGTATGGAATTATAAAGGCAGCACATATTTACATAATAAAATCGCTTATCACATTTTTGGTGATTTCATCACCTCATGGCGGTCAATTTCCGTCTTAATCTGCATTTCTATGCAAACAATTTGGATCCCATTCAATATGAAGTGCTTCTGATGATATGAGACATTCTTTGTGATTTCTGAAATTTCTCTGAATGATTTCAATATTGTCCAAATCCATTTTGTGGCTTGATTCTATGGCGTGTAGACCAGTGACTGACGATTTCGCAAGCTTTTCTAGGTTCACTGGATTTTTCGGTGGTTGGATTGAGGCTCTATGGTGTTCATCTCTTCTGATCTTGATTTCTTGTGAAGTTTTTCCCGTGTATACTACAGCCAATTCGAAGCATTTTATTTTATAGACAGTTACATCGTGAATCCCTTAGAATTTGGTCTTTCATATGGACAAGGTTGCTCTTCAGTTTGTCTGATATCGAGGAACACAATGATGTGTTTATTGAGTAGTGCTCTTCTGATATCGTCTGATGTTTCTGATCTATATGGAATGACAACTGTTGAGCTCTCCATGTCTTGGGAATACGTTTTCGAGCATGTTTAATGTTGGTGTTAAAATTTTGGTAATGAAGTTCTTTGGATAGTTATCTTCCTTGAGAATTTCAATAGTATTTGATATATTACACCTTCTTTTTACTTTTCATCCGTTATCATCAAAGAGTGTACTCGTCTAAGAAGACTTGAGACAACTGATAATATGTGTTTTCATCACTGATGGGATGTGATGATCTGAAGTTTAAATATTTTTGTTCGAGTGTATTTTCTTCCTGAATATCGATGTATCAAAATATCCGTTTTCTTTCCTCTTATTAACTAGGCAGTCTAGAAAAGGTGACTCACCGAAGTTCAACTCTGCTTTCGAATTAAACTGAATGCTGGGAGATTGAATGTTCACTTTCTCGAAGAATGCGAACTGTGTAGGTCTTGTTTTAGTACAACGCAAGTGTCACCAGCATATCTTGGCCATATTTTAAGTGTGTGTGTCAATACGCTTGAAAAGATTTCATCTTCAAATATATTCATGAAAAGATTAGTGACTATTGGGAAAGCTAGTGGAACCCAAAGCTACACAATTCGTCTTTTTGGTTAAATTTCCCCCGAATGGCTTACATATATATATATATATATATATGGGATATTATTTTTAAAATTATTTTGTTTTTCCTGTTGATTGGTTTATATTGGAGTGAAATACTCCGTCTTCGTTGATATGTCGGCTCCTAGTGTGGTGAGACCTGTCTGCAAACCAAAAATTGTAGACAGCAATTTACGTCAACGTTAAGTCCCTAATCGGGGTCATGAGAAAATACAATAACAAAGCTTAACCTTGAGGAACTCACCAACCAATCACAGCGGACTTTGCGTGGGCGGATACGATTCGCAGATATATGGTCTGACCTTCAAAGAAATGGCCACGAAGAGATGACAGAAAACAACCAATCAGAAGACGTTGCTTCTCTGCTAACAATAACGCTAATAATTTTTTTTTATTCTTTCACGTCCCCAGTGGAACATAGGGCTTCAAGCTAGTGGCTTGAAGTTTCTGTAGCAGTGTTTATTTTTACAGGATGGGGTTGCTAGCCTCATGTCAAACCTTTCCTCTTCACCAGCTTTATCTCTGGCTTAGTGAGGTAAAGGAGTGCGTCGGCCGGGGATCGAACCCCGGACCATATGCATGGTCGGCGAGCGTCCTAACCGCCATGCCACCGACGCCGCCAACGCTAATAATAATGTACATAAAAATCTATAAATATCTGTTTATTTTCTCAATAGACGATCTGTTGCTTGGCCCTTGCCTTCTGCCGTTACACTAGTACTGACGTTTCGACATTGTCTGAAGGATAACATGATGCTAGCTTCCTTCAATCAGATAACATCTTATAGGCATATACGTATGTCAACCAGGATATTTCTATAACTTGTTAACCTAATTTTTTTACTGTCGTTTGATTACAATAAAAACCATCCTGGCATCTTTTACCACCGCATTAATTTGTTCATCTCTTCACTTTTTTTTCCAGCCTTTCCGTCTCGTTTATGCTATTCGACTTTTAGACGCTGGTTTAGTCGAAAAAGCTTATCGTTATTTAACAGCAATTGGAAATGAACTTATTTTAGAATTTGATGAATACTATTCGAACATCAATAATAGGTCAGATGATGGATTTGTCAATCCTGTGTTGTACAGTTTAACGAGTAATTGTTTACGACTAGCTGAACCGTTACAACGTCATCCAGAAATCGATAGTTTCGATGTCCAGTTGAATAATGATCAAATGGATCGTGGTTTTGGATTTGCATTGATGAATATGCCACAAATTTCTCATATGAATAATAAAAATAAAAATTGGATAGGAAGATTAAGCCAAATTTATGAACAAATGAATATCAAGGTATATTTTGGCGTTTTTTTTTTGTTGTTTCTTTGGGTTATTTAACTCGTATTTTCATACTACACACTATTAATGCATTCAGTTCTTAAATCTCTGTACTCTGTGTGAGAATAGTTTTATCCTTCAGAGTGTTCTACCCCATGAACACCTTGAGCACCAATCTTCGTATGTTTGGCATGCGATTCGCCCCTGTAAAATGTAAGATGATGTTGCAGGATTGGACTACACCGACCCCTAGATTAGAAATAGGAAGTGAAGTGGTAGAGCACGTTGACCGATTCACTTACTTGGGAAGTACCATCAGCCCCAACGGGTTGATCTCTGACGAAATCTCAGCACGAATACAGAGGGCTAGTTTCGCATATGCCAGTTGTCGCCGTCTCTGGCGTAGAAGTGATATCCGACTATCGACCAAAGGGCGTGTGTACTGCTCATCAGTCCGCTCCATCCTCCTTTATGGCTGTGAGACCTGGCCATTGAGAGTGGAAGACATGAAAACATTAACTGTCTTTGATGATAGGTGTCTGCGTTCTATCTCCCGCGTGATGTGGTGTAATAACGTGAGCAATATTGAGGTTAGGCGTCCAGTGCTAGGTAAGGAGTGGAAATAAGTCGACGAGACCGTGAAATTACATCGACTGAGATGGTTAGGACATGTGTTACATATGCCTAGTCATCGCCTTCCTCGACAATGGGCAATGTTAGCTGATATGGGGTCAGGTTGGAAAAGAGCTAGCGACGGTCAAACGAAAACATGGCACCAGTCAGTGCAATCCACAACAGTTAGTTTAAGCCAGCTACGTAGGAAGGTGTAGAGTTCCTGACTGGTTGGGGTCCTCGGGACGGTAAAAACCAATGGTTGGAAACAATTGGTGACATGGCTCAAAATCGTTCTCAATGGCTGGTGCAGATACATCCACTCCTTGTGACTTATGATTTCCAATGAAACTGTTTTGTTCTACGTTATTACTATACCTTTATCTCACACCTCTGTTTACTGTCTTTATTATGCATTTCTCCTCTTGCTCTGTGTGCAACATGGAGTGTGGCGACTTGAACTGCCGCACGTATGTGCAAAGCTATATGTCGAAAACAGACAGACAGACTACCCCATGACCCAGAGACCGATCAATATAGATCAACAAATTTCCAAAGAGATCATGTTTCCACTGTTTTAGGAGGAGGAGTCCAATAGTTTTATGACTTTCAACTTTGCCGTATACGGCATAACTCTGTTATCTTCAAATGCCATCACATTGAAAATGCCAAGCATTTCAAAGACCTTAACCAAGACAGGTTCCAAATAGACACCAATATTGCTTAGGCCGACAGTCATTTGATAAGTGTTTCTGCCATGTGTTGATTTGGCTATCCGTAACTCTTTTCCAATGTGATAATTTTTCATCTGACATTTTCATCTTGAGAATACAGTATGTCAAAACCACCTTCTACCCGGAGCATATTTATTATGTATCTAGCTAAGATCTATACTTATTTCATGACGGCTGATGGTACTACTCAGTTGTCCACGCTGAAGTAGGTGGAGTGGGACTCGAACCCTATACTGTTGGTGAAATGGTTCAACTTCCTTCTCAATGGAACTGATGAATTCACTGCTTATAAACTGCTAGATTCATCAAATTATCATTATTCTCCATATACTTATTCTCTCTCTCCCATAGATATCCGTTCATTATAGTTCGTATAGCGATTGTAGCAACTTGAACTGCTGCACTTTTGTGCAAAGTCCTAGGTTGGAAACTGAATCAATCAGTCAATTTATTATTATTTTATTGTTGTTCCTTTGGGTTCCGAGTGAAATACATGGCTTCAACAACACGTCTCTACGTTGTCCTGTTCTCTGCGGTCCTATATTATAGCTGGCTCCACGATTACCTATAGTCTCATCTCTTCGGACGAACTTCTCCCTGTCACCCTTTCACCCACATCCAACCCTTGGTTCCTACTTGAGGGCCTGGTGCGTGACCCCTATAGAAGAACTGACTGACTTAACATTGGTGTTGAAAATCCAAATTTTGTTCTTTATGCTAAGTGCAGTCTGTCTGTTTTCGACATAGAACTTTGCACCGATGTGCAGCAGTTCAAGTCGCCACACTCCATGTAGCACACAAAGCAAGAGAAGAAAGTAGAAGAAATGCATAACAGAGACAGTAGACAGGGATATGAAACGAAAGGAATAGTAATAACGAAGAACAATATAGTTTCATTGGGTATTATAAGTCACAAGGAGTGGATGTATCTACATTAGCCATTGAGAACGATTTGAGCCATATCACCGATTGTCTCCAGTTTTCATTGGTTTCTACCATCCCGAGGACCCCAACCAGTCAGGAACTCTACACCTTCCTACGTGGCTGGATTAAACTAACTGTTGTGGATTCCATTGACTGTTTTCCAGCCTGACCTTATGTGAGCTAACATTGCCCGCTGTCGAGGAAGGCGATGACTAGGCATACATAACACATGTCCTAACCATCTCAGTCGATGTAACCTCACAGCCTCATCGATTGATTTCCCCTCACACCTACCTAGCACTCAACCGAAGAAGCCTAACCTCAATATTGCTCACCCTATTATACCACTTAACACGGGAGAATGCTAAGTGCAGATTTCCAAATCGATTTCAGAGTGATGAAGGTCTGCTTTGCCTTTCCGATTCTTGTTTTGATGTCATCATGTTTGCTGTCTGTAGTTGAATCAGTCAGTTAGCTAGTCAGTCATATATATACGTTTGGAGACTTTTAATTGCAGTTAAAATTACACTTGATTGTATATATATTATTCCGAAGTCCCATGCATTTCTTGTCTCTCGTAAGGTGGGAGCGACTTATAAAACATTTGTAGAAGGTGTAGTCAATATTGCAGTGATTACAGGTTTAATCATGAGCTGACATCACTTAGCGAAACATTAAACAGCTGTTTCGTCCTTGTTTGGGACTCTTCAGTAGTACGCATCCATTGGGGCTTAAACCCATTACCTTCCGATTGATTACCTGACGAGCTAGCCGTTGAGACCGGCTCCAAATAACCCATGAATTCTAACTTGTGCCAGTTGGCAATACAGTGGCGCAACTGTCAGTCAATGTTCATAGGCGAGTAGCTGTCCTCATACCTCCTTACTTAGTGGGTGCGTATTTCTGAAGAGCCCCAAACCACGAGGAAACAGGTGTCCAGTACTCCCCCCCCTGGTGGTTTTCTAGTGTTTTTTTTTACTGCTGTCAACTCGTGATCCAGCCTGTAGTCAATCAAATCCCTGTAAAACACCAACACTGTGTTAATTTTTGATTGAACACTAGTCAGTAACTAGTATAATGTGTCTAGTCCTATCTTCGGTGCAGACTGAATTCTATCAGTCAGGTTTGCAATGTTGCCACCATGCTAGGTGGCTCGCCATTACGGTGCACTGTGAATTGTTGGTATTAGATGGTTGGAGGCAATCGGCAGGAAGCCTTGGACCTAGGTTTCGTGCTAGTTGGCACTCATCAGCAAGGCGTATCTGCAACCTTGAAGGGACTGATGTCCCTTCTGAGATTCGAACCCGCGTCACCCAGTGCTGCAGTCAGAGACGTTACCACTGAGCTATTCAGGCTCGCGACTGACCTCCTGTAGGACTGTATTGGATATTTTTGATTGAACACTAGTGAGTAACTGAGCCTGAATAGCTCAGTGGTAACGTCTCTGACTGCAGCACTGGGTGACGCGGGTTCGAATCTCAGGAGGGACATCAGTTCCTTCAAGGTTGCAGATACGCCTTGCTGATGAGTGCCAACTAGCACGAAACCTAGGTCCAAGGCTTCCTGCCGATTGCCTCCAACCATCTAATACCAACACTGTGTTAACTTTTCAGGTTAGACTAATCATGTGCACTCCTCTATGTAACGTGATCGATCATCTTTCAGCACAGTGATGTTTTCATTTCATTAATTTAATATTGTTAAACAAAAACTTTTGTTTAAGTGACAACGTGTTTTTTTGACATGCTTATTTATATTTTATTTATATATATATTATGACAGCTGATTTGCCTATTTCTGTTTTTTTGTTTTTGTTTTTAATAGATAAACCATCCACATTACCGACCAGCTGGTTTCCAATCTTATGCTGCTGTAGCACAAAGAAATGAAGACAATGCGCCGTCACCAGGTATAAATCATCTCCCCAGTGATCCCGCTGGTGTAAACATGGGGCATGCGTCAGATCGTGATAGTAATTATTATAATTATAATTATTCAAGTAAAGGATTCGAGCATACATCTTCTCCTGTTGAATATAAAATACCGAATTATCAGAATTATCAGAGCACTTTAGCGTCAACTGATAAAGATTTGTCCACCAGGCTGAACACTGGTGGTGATCCGTATACTCGTGGGGATAATAATACACAAAGAAATGAATCTTATCAAGCTTATCAAGCAAATAATAAAATATCAAGAGACAGTATGCCTGCTTTAAGCAATGAACAACGCACTACAGCACCATCATTATTTCCAGCATCTGTAAGAAGTAAAGATGTTAAGATGAAGCTGGAGGCGGGTAAAGATGAGTGGAACACAAACAGTTCTTCTTTTAATCAGCCTTTCACTCCTCATCAACAGGTTAGTACTACTACTAATACTATTACTACTTTTTAGTATGATTAAAAAGTTTATAAAGTTAGGAGAATTATCATTATTATTATTGTTTCCTTTAATAACTAGAGGAACATAGGGCTTCAGCCGCGCGTCTCCATTGCGTTCGGTTCTCTGCTACAGTCTTCACCTGGCTCCAAGTCTGCCCACACGTTTTCATCTCCTCTTCACATGACCTCCTCCATGTCACCCTTGCACTGACGACCAACTCGCCGCTTCCCTTTCGGATTCCACTCGAGCAATGGCTTATCTAGTGATGTCACTTGATGGTTTCCTCAGAGTATGGCTAATCCATTTCCATTTCTTCCTGCCTATTTGTTTCACTGTCGGTTCCTGGTTGGTTCACTCCTAGAGATCCCTGTTGCTGATCTTTTCTGGCCATCTGATCTTGAGTATTGAGCGAAGACAACTGTTAATGAAGGTCTGTAGTTTGTTTGAGATGCTCTTTATGACGCGCAATGCAAGTCTTTGATCCGTATAGTAGCAATGACTTCACATTGTAGTTGGAAATTCGGATCTTATTTTTGATGCTGAGTGCTGTTGACCTCCACACAGACTTGAGAGTAATGAAAGCTTGCCTTACTTTCCCGATCCTTGCTTTGATATCCTCGTCAGTTCCGCCTGTAGTTGAAACGATGCTTTCCAGGTAGGTAAAAGAGGTTGTTTCTTTCAGGTTCCTCCCATTTATGCTGATCGTTGTCTGTTGTTGTTGTTGTCTGTTGTTTTTGTTGTTCTTGTCCAGGAATCTTCACCTCTGTTTTCTCTATGTTCACCTGAAGTCCTGTCTTTGATGCTTCTTCTGCCAACTTGTTGCTTTCCGTTTGCATATCTTCCAGTTTGTGGGAAATCAGACATATATCATCGGCGAAGTCTAAATCCTCCAAGTATTTTGTGTGAGTCCATTTTATGCCTGTTTCCTCATTGCCCACTGCTTGTCGCATTATCCAGTCTACTGCAATCAGGAAAATCATTGGCGATAGTAGGCAACTCTGTCTTACTCCTGTCTTCACTTCGAAGGATTCCGTGAGCTTCCCGTTGTGGATTACTTGGCATGCAGCATTGTCGTACAGCTGTTGGATGAGATGTATAATTGTCGGTGGCATCCCGTAGTAGCGAAGTAGTTGACAAAGCACCTCTCGATCGACGCTGTCAAAGGCCTTTTCAAAGTCGATGAAGTTGAGATAGATAGGTGACTGCCATTCCAAGCTTTGTTCAATGATGATCCGTAATGTGGCGATCTGATCAATGCATGACTTGTTTCTCCTGAATCCAGCTTGTTCCGGTCGAAGGTTTTCCTCCAGTGGGCATGTTTGATTCTCTCCAGGATGATGCGACTTAGTATTTTGCTTGGGATGGACAGGAGCATAATTCCGCGCCAGTTCTTGCATTGACTCAAGTCTCCTAACTTTGGTAGTTTGAATAAGTATCCCTTCTTCCAATCCTCGGGTACTTTGCCTTCTTTCCACACCTTCTCTAGTAGTGGTGTCATCAAGTCCGCTGTTGTCTCTGGGTCCATTTTCAATTCTGGACCCTGATAAATTTTCTTATACAATCTGTTGTAAAAACACCCAGTTATGTTTAAACTCCTTTTTATACAAGTTTCCCCGCCCCCCCCCATTCTAATTCTTGCGTTAAACACGACAAAAATAAATCAGGATACCATGAGTAGTAGTCAGTGTTCAGTCAGAGAGATAGAGAGAGAATATGTGTGTCCTTGAACAACCACTTGCATTTCCTTGCAGTTGCCAACATGCCACACCTATTGTGTGTGAGAGAAAGAGAGCTAATGATACCACGTAGCCGCTGAGAAACCTCGGTTAGTGGAGATTGGTTCGAACCCGTGATTCCAGGAACTGCAAATCGAACACTTAAACCAATAAGTTATACAGTTCTCCAAATATCTATAATATGCGGACACATATATGGTACAGAAATTTTCAGCGTATTTAGTTCCAATATACTTTTTTCTACACACAACAGGATTAACACATGTAGAGTAATAATAATAATAATCTAAAGCGCATATCTTCATTTCGTTGGAGAAGTGGACACGCGTTTACTTGGAAGCAAGTTAAATCAGTGCGCAAGTTCATTTGATACAACTAGACGACAACTAAACACAATGATAAATCCAAATGAATGAAATTAAGCATTTCGGTGGAAAGCAATTTCAGTAGCTCAGTGATTCAAGCAAGCAGACCGCTTACTTATTTATGGTGTATCACAAAATTGTGAACATTTACACTAATTTTTCATTAACTTGTATCCTTCTTTCACACACACACACACACTCATATTTGTTTGAAAAATGTCTTTCAAAGCAAACTTGCAGAAATTTTTTTAATAGGGTCCTAATTTTCCACTAACCAATTCACAAGTTTGTGGGTTAACATATTGAATTAATTAATTGCGTCGGTGGCTTAGTGGCAGGATGCTCGCCGACCACGCAGGTGGTTTTGGGGTTCGATCACCGGTCGACACACTCCTTTGCCTTGCTAAACCAGTAATGAGACTGGTAAAGAGGGAAGGTTGGTCATGAGGCAGGCTAGCAATCCCATCCCGTAAAAATGAACAACACTGCTACTGAAACTTCAAAGCACTAGCTTGAAGCCCTATGTTCCACTGGGAACGTACAGGAATAAAAGAAATATTGAATTAATGTTTCTGTTTCTAAAGTAGTAGTGTACTGTGTTTACTAAGCTAACTCATTCGACATCGTGATGTATCGTGTGTTCATTCAACCCACTCCTCAGTGTAGAAGGCTATTCAAGTTACACTGTTGCTCCAGTGCTGTTTTGATTAGTGCAATTTGTTCGATTATTATTATTATTGGGAGTCAGTTGCAGCTCAAATAGCATATAGTAAATAAAGTCTGTAACACTTTGAAAATAAATAGCAAAGATGTGAATTTTTAAGGCGCAGTTTACGTTTCCGTAAATTCCAGTGCTTATGTAGGAAAGCTGAGGCAGTCTGAAAACTATTTTGAAAGGTCTCTACGACAAAGTCCTATGCCGAAGAACTAATAAAACAATGAATGCCTTTTGCAATTCTGTTCCCAAGCCAACAGTAGAATTTTAAGCATACAGGAGGACATTGAATGTACTCTTCACTGATAGATACCAAAAAAACACGAATATTATGTTGATTTTGAACAAAGCAAGAACTACAGTTTTAGCCGAATAAAACGTTACCATATTTTATTTCGTCGCCTTCTCTTCAGCTGCTTACAGGGCAAAAACATTATTAAATGTATCTAAATGTATCTTGCACAGAGTTCATTTTAAACAGAAATCAATCGATCAATATACACATACACTAATAATATATACATATATATATATGCAATATTGAAAACAATTCCGAGCAATAATAATCATACAAAATGAAAACTTTTCAGTATCTCGCATTAGGATGAAAAATATCTAGTTACCAGGGCAAAGAAAAACTGATAACTGCTTCTTTTTGAACGCACAAATCAGGTTTTAGGCGCTTGATGGAAAAGGCTTCAGCAAACTTAAGGAGCATTGAACTCTTTTGCTTATTGATAATTTTGAACGACTTTCTGACGTCCACATCATGACCCGTATCAAGCGCCTAAAACCTGATTTGTGCGTTCAGAAAGAAGCAGTTATCAGTCTTTCTTTGCCCTGGTAACTAGATATTTTTCATCCTAATGCGAGATACTGAAAAGTTTTCATTTTGTATGATTATTATTGCTCGGAATTGTTTTCAATATTGCATATATATATGTATATATTATTAGTGTATGTGTATATTGATCGATTGATTTCTGTTTAAAATGAACTCTGTGCAAGATACATTTAGATACATTTAATAATGTTTTTGCCCTGTAAGCAGCTGAAGAGAAGGCGACGAAATAAAATATGGTAACGTTTTATTCGGCTAAAACTGTAGTTCTTGCTTTGTTCAAATTCATTAAGGGGAACAAATGTATGAAATTATGTTGATTATTGTTATTATAGCAAAAATATTCATTCAGACATCTATAAAACACAAAATAATTGAGCCAGAAAAGAATATCCTTTTCGATAAATTCCTCTTCTGGCTCTACATTTATATATATGTTTATATACGTAGAATATTCTAGATTAGTAGTCAGTAACAATATTAGTGTTTTCTAAATAATATCGATTTGTTAAGTAAGATCACAATGTAATTACAGTTCACTAAAGATGCTTAAATTGCAATAGTAATAAATATATACTAGCAAATAGAATATCAACTGAAATTAGGAAAATTCCACAAAAATTCAGGATCATTCAAACCTAGATGGCCAAGGTAAGGATAATGTCTGAACTGTAAGATGTAAGATGCTGCTACAGGACTAGACTACGTCTACCCCTAGCTTAGTGATAGGGAGTGAAGTGATAGAACATGTTGACCACTTCACCTATTTGGGAAGTTGTATCAGCACCAACGCATTGATTGGTGACGAAATCTCAGCACGGATCCAAAAAGCTCGAGCTGCTTTCGCTAACTTCCACCGTCTCTGGCGTAAGCGTGACATCCGGCTATCAACCAAGGGACGTGTGTACTGCTCAGAAGTTCGCTCCGTCCTTCTCTATGGTGGTGAGACGTGGCCATTGAGAGCAGAAGACATGAAAAGATTGTCTGTTTTTGACCACAGATGTTTACGATCTCTTTCTCACGTTAGGTGGTATAATGAGGTAACTAATGCTGACGTTGGGTGTAGAGTGTTGGGCAAAGAGGGAAAATCAATCGACGAGGCTATAAAACCACATAGATTGAGATGGCTAGGTCACGTGCTGCGCATGCCTAACCATCGCCTCCCCCGACGGGCATTACTAGCTGATATAGGTGCAGGTTGGAAAAGAGTAAGCGGTGGCCAAACAAAAACATGGCCTCATCAATCCTTGAGTAATCTTTCATATTCCTTTCTACCATTACTCATTCTGTTTCACTCTTATACTTGTCAAAACTGTTGATTCCCTTCACCCATTTTCTTGTCTACCTTTGTGTGCTATTTGGAACGTGGCAACTCGAACTGCTGCACTTCGGTGCAGACAGACAGAATGTCTGAGCTAATTTCTTTTGGATGCACAAATTAGGCTTGTTAATATGGATCCCCACAGCCTCAGCAATATTTAGTAGTCGAACTCTAATATATATAATTGTAGAGCCAGAAGAGGAATTTATCGAAAAGGATATTCTTTGCTCAATTATTTTGTGTTTTATTGTTATTATTTTTATTGAGACACAAACTTGATACACTATGGACACCAAGAGTTGCGCCACACAAAGCCTCATAGTTTGTGTGTGTGGGGGGCATGGGATACTGCCTCAGGTGCACAGATAGAATCAGGTGGTTGTCTTAAGCGACTCTACGCCCCCTACTCTTCGGCTCTAAATCTCATCCACAAGGCAGTAGAGATGCGTTCCCCATGGTTTTCCGGTGACGGAAACAGGTTCACACGCCATTATGTGCGATCCTTTCGTATTCTGTAGCCTATTTACACCGTAGATTTGAAATTAGGGTTTCCTAGCACCCCTAAGTAGACCTCCTGGATGTCCAACAGTCCAGTTGAAAGCGTCAGACGTTCGTATCCGCCGTTTCACTTTTCTGAGGAACACCTCCCGTCGCATGAAGGCAGTGATGAATAGGCCTTACCTAGCAGAAGCTATGTGAATCCGTGACTAAATAAGAGTATTTGGAGAGGAAGTCTATCCACCCTCGGCCGTCCGAGGTCATTTATTAGGTGGCAGTATAATGTTGATTACGTAACATTTGAGACAGTGGATTTTTAGAATACTTGGACGATAATAATAAATGTATTTTTGAATTACTTTAGATATCGTCTGCTCATCAAATGTCTACTAAACAATCACCTAATATGTACGCACAACAACAACAACAACACCAGCAGCAGCAGCCGCAACAACATCAACAACAACCACAATATTCTCCTCCAGTGTCAAATACTCAACGTCATTTTGAATTTACATCTGGTGCAGTTGATTCCTCATCATCACTACATTTACCAAAATCTCTGCCATCTTCATCATCTCACCAAGTAATCGTTTCCCTTCAACTATACAACAATCATCACATGCTTACGATGATGATCATAATAATAATGATAATGATAATGATAATTTAAGAAGGCTAAATTCAACTTCATATTCACCGCAACATTCTACTCTTCCTAGTTCATTTAATCATAATTATCAACCAGCTAGTGGAAATAATACTTTCTTTACTCCTCTACCTCATACAGATTCACAGACAGATATTTCATCTGCTGGTAATACTCAACAAGGATTTGATTATTTTGCAAATATTCAAAGTGTAAGTTGATTGCCTTTTTCTCTTCTATTCTCTTTGTGTTATCCTGTACAGTTAGTTAATTTTCTTTTCGCGAGCATGGATTTCATGGCAAGTTAAAAAACTGTGTAGAAACCATCTTTTGTTCTGAGTTATTATTGTTCCCTTGGGTTCTGAGTGAAACCTAGGGCTTCAGCAGTAGATCTCCACCTTGTCCTATTCTCTGTGGTCCTCTTCAGTTGACCCCACTATTTCCCCAATAGTCTCTCATCTCCTCCATGTCACCTTCGGACGCCCCACCCATCGTTTCCTACTCGGGTTCCACTCGAGCCCTGGCCTGCATGGTGCGCAATGTCATTCGACGGTCTCCTCAGAGCGTGTCCGATCCATCTCCATTTCCTTCGGAATATTTGTTGAGCAATAGTTTCCTATTTTGTGCGTCGGTGGCATAGCGGTTAGGACGCTCACCGACCATGCACATGGTCCGGGGTTCGATCCCCAGCCACTGACGCACTCCTTTACCTCGCTAAGCCAGAAATAATGCTGGTGAAGAGGAAAGGTTGGGCATGAGGCTAGCAACCCCATCCTGTAAAATAAACACTGCTACAGAAACTTCAAGCCACTAGCTTGAAGCCCTATGTTCCACTGGGGAACGTGAAGGAAGAAAAATAGTTTCCTATTTGGTTCATTCCCAGAGCTTCTTGTTGCTAATTCTTTCCACCGGACATATGATCTTCAGTATGGAGTCAGCGACTGGGCAGCTGTTGATAAAAGTCTGCAGTGGCTTGTTTGAAATGCTTTTTGGTGACGCGCTGGCCAAGTTTCTGACCCATATAGAAGAAGCAACTGACTTGACATTGGTATTAAGAATCCGAATTTTGTTCTATATGTTAAGTACAGAAGATTTCCAAACTGATTTCAGACTGATGAAGGTCTGTCTTAGTTTCTATGATTCTGGTTTTGTCATCCTCATTCGTGCTGTCCGCCTTTAGTTGAAATGATGCTGTCTAGATAGAGGTGAAGGAAGTGACCCCATTCAAATTTCTTCCGTTGATTATGATTGATCCTTGTTGTTGTTGTCTGGTTGGTTGTCTTCATCATCTCCATCTTCTCTATGTTCACTTGAAGTCCCGTCTTTACTGCTTCTTCTGCCAGATTGTTGGTTTTCGCCTGTAAATCATTTCATTTCTGTCATTTAGTGATGTAGCATTCTTCAAAGTATTAGGTGGTTGGAGGCATCAGCCACAGGAAGCCTTGGACCTAGGTTTCGTGCTAGGCGTATCTGCAACCTTGAAGGAACTCTTGTCCCTTCTGAGATTCGAACCCGCGTCACCCAGTGCTGCAGTCAGAGACGTTACCACTGAGCTATTCGGGCTCGCGATTGACCTCATGTAGGACTGTAGTGGATACTTTGATTGGACACTAGTAACTAGTGCGATGTGTCTAGTCCTTTGTTTGGTGCAGACTGAATTCCATCAGTCAAGGTTGCAGATACGCCTTGCTGACTGATGAGTGCCAACTAGCACGAAACCTAGTTCAGACAAGGCTTCCTGTAGCCGATTGCCTCCAACCATTTAATATCATCAAATCAATGTGCACCGTGATGGCGAGCTACCTAGAATGGTGGCCACATTGCAAACCTGACTGATAGAATTCAGTCTGCACCAAAGAAAGGACTAGACACATCACACTAGTTACTAACTAGTGTCCAATCAAAGTGTTCTTCAAAGTCTTTGGCTAACTGTCTTCACAAATGATTTGATGGAACTTGTGATCACCGCCTGGTAGAAAGCCACTAGTGAACAGTGTAATTCAATCATTAGCGAATGAAGTAATTGAATGACAATATGTTTCATATCTTCACATTCCCTACATCGATCCCCGACGGGTTGAAGCGTGGAGACTATTTAATGTTTGAAACTAAAAGAAATCAGCTTTTCACAGCTTCCTTTTTGCTGAAGTAGTAGATAAATTTTTTAAAGTAATCCACCGAATCTCCACAAGCCCTTAGAATTGAAAATTTGCTTTCTTTGTTAAACTTTTCTTTTTTTCTTTTATAGATACAATCACGTTCACGTACAGTTTCCGGTAATTCGGAACACAGTACCGGTGGTGCAACTAACACTTCAACTCCATTCATTGATAAAGTAAGTTTCTAACAAGGTTAATATACATTCGTTCTTATATGAGCGCAGACACTCATGTACCAAGATGTAGACAGTTAAGCATTGTGACCAATCTTCACACTAAAGTTGTAGCACATTACCATTGTCGCTTAGCTTGCTCCGGGCATTCATTTCACACCCTTCCTAATACTAATTCCATCGCATTCGATGTGACGATCACAAGAGAGCACTTTACCGATGTGACGGATCAAGTCTTTAAACATCACATCAGCCTACTGGAGTAGAAGTCAGGGTTATGATAAACAGAGTTGGTTAAATTGCAATATTTGAGGTTGAAAAGAAGAAAGTTGGGAAATCCCATCTGCCTACAGTGAAATACATATGAGGTTATATAATGAATATACCGTGTATGGGTTGATCTTTTTATGTGACTCCTAATTTTGGTTGTTTATTACCCTCGAGGAACACCATACTGCTGTAACCTTCGGCGATAATCAATCCGTAGTACCGATTCACGTTTAAACATACAGACTTCCGCTTTATAGCTTTCTCCGGAGTTACATGGTTTTTCATGCCATAACGGTGAACTAACGGTTTTTAGTAGTAAATACTGAAGTAAGTGAGACTAACTTATGGCTTATATGCCAATATTGGCCTCAGTCAGTCAACAGTTAACTTTCAGGTTATATTAGTAATAGATAGAGTAGTATGCGCCGGTTAATTAGCTGTAGGAATTTATGATTTTTTTTGTAATATTTAATTAACTCTAGTCTTATCAGATCGTGTTTGGTAATTGTGATTCATAACTTGAAAGTCAAGATAGAAATATATAATTCCCCCCCCCCTCGCTGCGTCCTGTGTAGTCGGAAGTGTAAAAAGAGATTCTCTACGGTCAACGGAAATACATCAGATGCTGATAGATCATTGCTACTTTGACGTAGTGATCGAAATTGCATTTATCACTAGTCCGATATGCTTTATAGGATTGAAAATCCTACCATTCCAGAAAGGTCGGGTGGATATCGAGCTAAGAGTGAATAGTTTACCTGCATAGTGTTAAGTACTTTGCACTACAGTGTGTGTTCTTAATGGCAAAGTTGTGCTGTTGACAGAAGGATTCCCGGTCCAGCAAAGTTTTTCCCTTGGATGAATTATTTGATGCAGTCTGACTTTGAGTGAGGGCAGCAGTTAGAGAAGTAGAACCAAAAGACTGTGTGCACTTCGACGTACTCTCCAACCATCAGTACCTAAGGGTAACAGTCTTTATATGAACTCAACAGAAATCGTAGTATTTTTAAAATCCCCACATGTAAACATACCAGACCAATCCTTTTCATACTTTGTGCATTAAAAGAGGATACAAGTTTCCATAAGGTGAAGAGCTATAAAAGTGGCAGTCACCCGACCCTTTCCGGATACTAGCTTTCTTCCTTGTTGTGTTCCAACCTTTCTTCATGTATCACTACAAACAAATTTACTTTACCTTCAAGTTCTTATTGTTCCGAACTTATGAAATTATTTTTATTGTTCCCTTGGCTGCTGAGTAGAACATGGGGCTTCAGCAGTACATCTCCATGGTACTCTGTTCTTTTCAGTCTGTTTTAACTGACTCTACGATTGCCCGTAAACTTTCATTTCCTCCGCACATGATCTCCTCCGTGTCGCCGTCGGATGTCAAACGCATAGTTTCCCTTTCGGATTTTACTCGAAGGCCTAGCATGTGATACCACTCAACGGTTTCCTCAGCGTATGTCTAATCCCATTGCCTTCTGCATATATGTTGGGCAATAGGTTCATAGTTAGTTCATTGCTAGAGTTTCTTGTTGCTTATTATCTCTGGCAGGCCATCTGATCTTCAGCATCGAGCTAACGAAGGTAGCTGTTGATGGAGGTCTGCAGTAAGTTGTTGTAAATGCTTTTGGTGACACATGCGCTAAGTCCCTGAACCATATCGAAGAATTAATTGACTTGACATTAGCGTTGGAAATCCGGATCCTGTTCCTTATATTGTATGCAGCAGATTTCCATATCGGTTTAAGAGAAATGAAGATATCTGTCTTGCCTTTCCAATCCTCTGTCTTCTCTGTATTCACTTGTAGTTCTGTCTTCGTCGCTTTTTCTGCCAACTTGTTGATGTTCGCTTGTAGATCTTCAGGTTTGTGCATTATTAGACATCAATCATCGGCTAAGTTGAGGCCTCTTATAGTCTTTTTGTTGGTAATATACAGTATTTCTGGAAATTGCACTTTAGAATACATAAACTAAATTTTAAAGCGTCTTGTTAAGCAGACCGTGGTGGTAATTATCACCACCTAGGTAGTAACAGATGTACTTAGATGAAAGCGTTAACTGACCTGCACTTATTTATATGCTCAACGGTTGGTCGGTCGGTTTTCGACATAGAACTTTGCACATATGTGCGGCAGTTCAAGTCGCCACACTCCATGTAGCACACAAAGCAAGAGAAGAAAATGGAAGAAATGCAAAATAAGGGCAGTACACAGAGATATGAGGCAAAGGAATAGTAATAACGAAGAACAAAACAGTTTAATTGGAAATCATAAGTCACAAGGAGTGGGTGCATTTGCACCAGCCATTGAGAACGATTTTGAGCCATGTCACCAATTGCTTCCATTCATTGGTTTATACCGTCCCGAGGACCCCAACCAGTCAGGAACTCTAAACCTTCCTACGTGGCTGGATTAAACTAACTGTTGTGGATGGCATTGACTGGTGCCATGTTTTGATTTGACCGCCGCTAGCTCTTTTCCAGCTTGACCTTATGTGAGCTAACATTGTCCACTGTCGAGGAAGGTGATGACTAGGCATACGTAACACATGTCCTAACCATCTCAGTCGATGTAATTTCACAGTCTCGTCGACTGATTTCCCCTCCTTACCTAGCACTCAACCGACGCCTAACCTCAATATTGCTCACCTTAATATACCACTTCACGCGAGAGATAGAAGGCAGGCACCTATGATCAAAGACAACTAGCCGGCCTTTTCACGTCTTCCACTCTCAATGGCCAGGTCTCACAGCCATAAAGGAGGACGGAGCGGACTGTTGAGCAGTACACACGCCCTTTGGTCGATATTTGGATGTCACGTCTACGCCAGAGACGGTGTAAACTGTCGTATGCGAAACTACCCTCTGTATTCGTGCTGAGATTTCGTCGGAGATCAACCCATTGGGGCTGATGGTACTTCCTAAGTATGCCTAACGACGTTTTCCTTCCTTGACTTTTGATTCTGTTAATCAGTGTTGCTGCTGACATGTATATTACTGATGTTTAGATTATCTGAGATGATTCCTATTTGACAACGGTGCAAGAGTTCCTTCCCGAGTCACATAAACTTATTGAGTTGAGTATTGGCGAAGGCATTCTAAAAACTGAAAACCTATGGTTCTCAGGTCTCTTACCAGGGAGGCGGGTGGGGGGTATTTGTCTCATTGACGACTTCAATCATCACTCCCGCTAAAATTATATTCAATTCATGAACACGCTTTTGTTTTTTTATATTTCAGACAACAGGTGCTGTAAACTCTAGAAATAATAGTGGTCTTAGTCGTTCACGTGAAAATTCATTTGGAAATGATCGTCACTATCAACAGCAGTTGCAGCAGCAGCAACAACAACAACAATCACAACAGTTCTCTATGAACAATACACCACAGGGAACAATGCGTTTCTCACAACCGATGTCTATGAATCAATCAACTAGAGAGGATACAAAAGAGGATTATAGTACTGAACGATTATCTGAGGAAAAATCGAAAGAACAAGGCAGTATGGATAAAAATCAACAATCGAAAGTAAGCAGTATTCATATGTTTGTATCACCCTTTTTATTTTGTTTATGCTCTTAAAGAGGTGGTGGTATCACATTCATCAATTGATTATCTCACTATGATTTTACTTTGTGGTGAAGTTAAACTTTAAGCATAAGTAACAATCAATGAAAAATGACCTTGAACGCACCAATCACATGAAAAAGACTTTTTTTACGTGTAAAATGCATATATTTATGAAAATAATTATATAAAAAAGGCATAACAATGTTACATAGGATACCTTTCTCTGAAATGTGAGAAAACAATGCCTGTCAGTTTTCCATAGGAGTGTCAATAGAGAAGTTGAACCACACTCTATACATGTATATTCATCTAAATGGCTGTAAGTAGCATCCTTCTGAGATCTGTTAATGGCTGTAATCATGTTCTTTAACCTTCCCCAAAATCCTTCGATGGAATTAGGATCCACAAAATCGTTAGTGTGGTTGACTGTGTAGTGAATATATCCAAGGGATGCCAGCGAGTTATATATCCTGGTTGCACCAACCTAGTGATAATGGGTATTCAAGTATTTGACTTTCTGTCTGATAATCTTTCGACGAATCCTTTCCGTGAAGTGGTGTCGTAATACAATCCATTCACCTTAAACGTGATTTGCTTTTTCTCGACCACAGGTGTATTTCCTCTTTATAAGAATTGTTTCATCTATGTATATACAGTGAACAATATGTCCTCCTAATAAAAAACTTACTCTCTCCATCCTCTAAGTGGCAAGATCTCTGCAACGCTGATACCACTGAACAGTTGAAATGAGATTGTTCACCGTTTCAGCGACTGTAGCTTTCACAGCATGTTTTAAAACCCAGTTGAAGCTTTTTGATACTCATGATACCTCCACAGGAACAAATTGCAGATAAACTTTGTTAACAAGAGTGAATCAAAAAATACAAAACTGAGAGATAAAAAGCTTCTAGCCGACTGACTACTGACTGATATTGGTCATTTATGGATTGGATTAGGATTGCATATTTATGCTTCTTCTGGTAACTGTTTATTTAATTACAAGCATCTACTTTGATCATAGGTGCCTGCGTTCTATCTCCCGTGTGAAATGGTATAATAAGGTGAGCAATATTGAGGTTAGGCTTCTTCGGTTGAGTGCTAGGTAGGTGGGAGGGGAAATCAATCGACGAGGCTGTAAAGCTACATCGACTGAGATGGTTAGGACATGTGTTATGTATGCCTAGTCATCGTCTTCCTCGACAGTGGGCAATGTTAGCTGACATAGGATCAGGCTGGAAAAGAGCTAGCGGTGGTCAAACCAAAACATGGCTTTATCAGTCAATGAAATCCACAACAGTTAGTTTAATCCAGCCACGTAGGGCGATGTAGACTTCCTGACTGGTTGGGGTCCTCGGGACGGTAAAAACCAATGGCTGGAAACAATCGGTGATATGGCTCAAATGATCGTTCTCAATGGCTAGTGCAGATGCATCCACTCCTTGTGACTTATAATACCCAATGAAACTATATTGTTCTTCGTTATTACTATTCCTTTTGTCTCATATCCCTATCTACTGTCTCTGTTATGCATTTCTTCTACTTTCTTCTCTTGCTTTGTGTGCAACATAGAGTGTAGCGACTTGAACTGCTGTACATCGGTGCAAAGTTCTATGTCGAAAACAGATAGACAGACAGACAGACAAGCATCTACGAACTTCCATTCACACAACTTTCAATTCATCCTTTTGGACAGCTTTGTTCTTATGGCAGTTTGTGGATATAAGCTCTTTCACGACACTTAACTCTATTTGGCATACTGATGAAATGGTTTTGAAAAGTGTGTGAATATAACTATTCTCTCAGACAAAATTTAGAATCGAAGAAATTCGTGGCTGTAATGAATATATTTATTAGGTCATCGACTGAGTTACCGCTCTTATGTTAGAACTTGACATTCACTGCCGACATTATTTCAAGGATGGTACTATGACAACTAATAATAATCACTTTATTATTCCAAACAGTTTGTTCGATTAATTTGAGAGTAGAATTTGAGCAATTTGGTAGAATATAATTCCCTATTAGATAAGTTTACTTTTTGTTTCACTAAGAAACAGTGACAACAGTATTTTACGAGTTGATCACGGACTGATATCAGTTAGAGAACCATTGAAAACCAGGGTGTACTGGACAGCTGCTGTTTCATCCTAGTTTTGGGAATCATCGGCAGTACGCACCCACTGGGATTACAAACCAAACTTTAGACAACAGTATTAATAACTGTGTTTTTTAGTCCAATTTATTGGTGTTCGTAATCATATCAATGTATAACTTGCTTTATAATAGCATTTATCCACAGCACTTCCCTCCTGCCTCCCCTTGATTTTCTGTTACAGTTTCCCATATATCCGGTATCGGCTTTCTTCAATGAATAAACATCCGGTGAAAGAGAGAGAGAGAGACAGGTTAATCTCTGAATCTCTTTGTTTGTGTTGAGTCAACACTGAACGCCATGCAATAGCTATGCCGGATATATATGGAAAAGTAACAATAAAAAAAAACAGCATGACGTAAGACGACTACTGACTACATAAGAGCAAGTTATCAAGTCGTGTAAATATACATT